GATGTTATGCAGATGTATTGGATTTCAAATATTACAGACGTTTCGACTTTTGTTCAAGTCTTCATCAGTGTTCTTCAATCCAAAATATAGTGAAAATAGACGACATTATCAGTCAAATAATAAAACAATGTTGTTGAATCAAAGGTGTCGTCTAGAGAGTCTAGACTGTACTGTAAACGTCTGTAATATTTGAAATCCAATACATCTGCATAACATCCAGCAACCAGTTCAGTAAAGCCTTTTTATTTCATATTCTTGTTTTTTTTTAGAAATATTTAATATTTTTAAAAAGCCCAAGACGAAAACAACCCATGTCCGGCGAATTAAGGTGCCGAAAAACTCGCCGTTCGTTGAGGATTAATTATACTTTTTATATATTCATAATATATATATATCAAAATAAGAAAAACATCTCTTGAATATTAAAATTTACCGTTCAAGCTTAATCTGTTCAAGTTTATTATTAAACCTTACGCAAAGATTGATAAGTTATCACCCCTAAGTCTCTACCACGCAACATCACAGGTAGTTGCAAAATTAATAACTTTTAAACTAAAAGAGATAGAGGAAAACAGTTTGCATCATAATCCTTAGCGCAACAAACTGCAAAATACCAGCTTAGTTTGAACTTTTTAACTTTAGTTATTAACAATCAATTGTTTAAATAATAGAAATTATTAAACTTTTACCGTGTGGTATTTTGCAACTAACCAATAGGAATTGAGATGTAAAAACCATTTTGCTCTAACTTTTACCGTTTTCGAAATATTTAATTTGTTAACTTTCACTCTTTGTCATAAATCGCAGAGTAGCCGATTGAAGGTACCTGCAAAATTAGTTTCAAGCTATCTCTTCTGGTTCTCGAGATATCCACGATTTGCAAAAAAGACTATGTATCGTTAAATGTAGAATACGCTCGATAATATTTTTTAATTTTTTTATATTTGTATTATATATATATTTATTGTATTATATTATTATTGTACAGTGTAATATAAAATTCTCTCTTCTCGTTTTGATATACATACATAGAAATCGCCACTAGTGACGACAAGAATTACATAGAAATAGTGACAAGAGAAAGGGCACGTTTTGCTCTGGCAGTAAAGTCGCGCATTAACTGTCTGACGACGACGACCACGTTTCTTAAATCTTATAAAACCTAATTTTTCGGGATTTTGGACTTTGGAGCGAGATAAATCCGTTGGGAAGACACGGACGAAAAAAATTGCAAAATATTTTTTTTCGTGCCTCGATCTGAACTTTTGATCGAGTCTAGGCCGGACTCGATCGGTTTAGCCGTTGTTGAGATCGGAAAATCTCGAAAAGGCTCTCGGCTAAATTTCGCGTATAAGAGGCACGGGGTACCTCGCGCGCGCACTTCGTTTGCGCATATACTTGGCGCGAGGCACTACCGTGCCTCTTGATTATATTAGAGTGTAATATTGCAATAGAAAAGCAATATTGTGTGTGATATTGCAGTAATATTACGTGCTATGTGGGATGTCACGGTAATCACGTTACGTCAGATTAATGACGTAAGTAAACGTTATTAACCTGTCGTCATTTTTGACGAGACAAACTCACGTCGTCATTACGTTAATATCATAAACTAACGTCAAACTGGTCAAAAACTGACTTTATATTAATGTCATTATAACGTCAGCTGGTTGCCTGGGATTTGAATGTGTTGTAACATAAAAAAAGGAAGAATTCTAAATAATGGCGACGAACGGTCAGGACGAAGTAACGCTTATCGAGAAATTGAAGGACAGCGAAAATTTTTCCTTGTAAAAATTTCAAGTTTCTATTCTATTTAAGGCACTTGGATTATACGAGATAGTGACAGGATTATCTGTGTTGACGGAAGGAATCACGGAACAAGCTAAAACAGAATGGATCAAAAAGGATGCACGTGCTCAAAAAATAATAATAACAACGGAGAGAGGCAACTTTTGACGCACATTAATTTGTAAAACATTGTGTGAAATGTTTAAGCGTATTTGTGCAATGTATGAAAGAGACACACAACAACAAAAATGTTTATTACTTCAGGAATTTTTCAATTTTTTTTGTCAGAAAGGTTCTGATATTGGCTCACACGTGAGTAAGCTTGAAGCATTAGCATATAAACTAAAAATACTGATTGTTGATATTGATGAAACTATGCTTATATCGAAAATACTTGCAACGTTGCCTGAAAAGTTTAAACACTTTGTTTCTGCATGGGATTCCACAGGTCAAGAAGAAAAGACACTTTCTAACCTTATTTTTAGGTTATTGTTAGAAGAAAATAGAACATTAGCAGCGGATCAAACAAGAAGCTGTAGCATTTAAAACAAGCGAGAAAAAATGCTACAAGTGCAATAACCCAGGTCATTTTGCGAAAGCATGTAAGCTAAAAGATAATAATCAAGATATACGTTGTTTTAATTGCAATGAACGCGGTCATTTAGCAAAGAATTGTAAAAAGAAAGACAACGCAAGCAATCCTGTAAAATGTAATATCTGTAAAAAAAAATAATTATTGTGACAAAGACTGTTATTTTCGTAAAAACAAAACAACACAAGATCAATTAACAACTAAAGATAAAGTATCTTTTTTGGTGAGTGCTAGTAGAACCAATGAGTGGATCTTAGATTCTGGATCTTCTTCCCATATGTCGAATAATAAAAATTTGTTTAAAAATTTAAAAAATATCAAGTCAGAAATTGTAACGGCAAAGAAAAGTCAAGTTTTAAAAGCCGATAGAATAGGAATAATAGAAACTAATAAAGTTGTTCTTAATAAAGTTCTTTATGTAGAAGACTTAACTAAAAATTTGCTTTCTGTAAATGCAATAATTGAAAATGGTGGCAAGGTTATCTTTACAAAAGATAAGGCTGAAATATGGAAAGACAATATAAAATTTACTGGTTAACGGAACATAGATGGACTGTGGACAATCAATCTTGAACAAGACACTGTAAATAATGCTCTTTTAGCACAGGGAGTTAAAGCAGCTGTTGAGTGGCATCAGAAACTTAGACATCTTGGAAAAGAAAATATGAAAAAATTGCAAGATATGTCAGAAGGTATGTTATTAACAGAAGAAGGACTAAAAGCTTTGGATAAAGTTTGCGAGACATGTTTAAAAGCAAAGCAAACCAGATTACCGTTTAGTGATAAAAAAGTGAGAGCAAAACGTCCACTTGAAGTAATTCATACTGATGTATGTGGACCGGTAGATCCGCCAACGTGGGATAAGAAGAAATATATTTTAACATTTATTGATGACTTTACACATTTTGTTATGATCTATTTACTGGAAGGTAAATATGAAGTTTCATCTAAGGTAAAGGAATATGCTAATTTAGTAGAAGCAAAGTGGAATCTAAAAATTTCAAAACTAAGATGTGACAACGGACGCGAATATGTTAATGAAAATCTTCAAACTTGGTGCAAACAAAGAGGAACTTTACTAGATACTACTACACCATATACACCTCAACTTAACGGTAAGGCAGAACGAATGAACAGAACGCTTATTGAGAAAACAAGAGCTCTACTAACAAATGCTGAGATAGATAAAATTTTCTGGGGTGAAGCAATACGCACAGCGGCATATTTATCAAATAGAAGTCCTACAAGTGTTGTTCAAAAAACCCCATATAAGAATTGGACTTTACAAAAACCAGATTTAACAAGACTACAGATTTTTGGCTGTTCGGCTTACACTAAAATCCTAACATCACTTAAAAAACTAGATAATAGATGTAAAAAATATATTTTTGTCGGATACGCACCTAATGGTTATCGATTATTTGATAGTGAAAGAAGAAAACTTATAATATCAAGGGATGTAATATTTACTGAAGAGTTGAAATTAGTAAAAGCAGTAGCAAGAATAAAGACAACTTCTGAAGAAGAACAAGATAAAGAACAAGAGACAAATAAAATAGAATAAATAAGAAACAATATTGAAAATACTTCTGAAAGCGAAGAGGAAACTATTCAATTTCAAGATGCATTGGAAGAAGAAACAGACTGTGAAGTGGATAGAGCACAAGAACAAGAAGATCAAGAAGAAAGTGGAAGAGGAAAACGTATCAAAAGAATTCCATGCAAATACAAGGATTATGTTTATTTAACTTACGAAGAAGCTACAACAGGAAAGGACAAAGAGAAATGGTTAAAAGCAATAGAAGAAGAAAAGAAGTCTCTTGAAGAAAATAAAACTTGGAACTTTGTAGATAAAATACAAGCTAAAAATAAAAGGATTTTAAGTAATAAATGGATTTTCCGAATTAAGGACGACGGTAGATACAAAGCTCGTTTGGTAGTACGAGATTGCGAACAACGTTTTGGAGAAGATTTTGAAGAGACTTTTAGTCCGGTTGTTGGTATAAGTTCACTGAGAGCACTCTTTGCAATTGCAACTAGAAGAAAAGATTTTATCATGAAGTTTGTTATCAAAACAGCTTTCTTATATGGAAAGTTGAGTGAAGTAATATATATGGAACAATCAAAAGGTTATAATAACAATAATAAGATCTGCAAACTCAATAAAGCCTTGTATGGTCTAAAACAAGCACCGTTGGAATAGAATCAGCGATTCACCTCTTTTCTAAGAAGCAGAGGACTAAAATCTACAAAGACTGAACTCTGCATTTTCAAGACAGAAGATTGTTCTTTATTTTTGGCAATATACGTGGACAATGGTTTGGTGATAGGACATAATAAACAGATTATAGAAAAACTTTTAATAAATCTAGGTAAGGAATTTCAAATGACAACAAGTAATTGTGTTAAGTCCTTTTTAGGAATAGAAATTCATTGCGAGCAAGATTGTCTTAAACTTAAGCAGACTGATTATGCTTCTAAAATAGTTGAAAGATATAAAATGGAAAACTCAAAACCTGTAACTGACTCCAATATTGACTAATGACTTAAGAAGAGAAACTCCAATTAATTCTTTTCCATATTGAGAAAGTGTTGGTAGCATTTTATATTTAGCAAATAAAACTAGGCCAGATTTAGCTTTTGCAGTAGGTTACGCTAGCAGACATTTAAGTGAACCAACGCAACAAGATATTATGAATGTGAAAAGGATCTTAAGATACGTAAATGCAACTAAGAATTTTGGTATTAGCTATCATGAACAAAATAATACAGAAGTTGAAGAATTAATAGGCTACACAGACTCTGATTACGCTGGAGATAATGAAACTCGTAAAAGTACAACTGGTTATGTAATTATGTATTCAAACGGCCCTATAAGTTGGTGCTCTAAAAAACAACCAATTATTACTTTATCTAGCACTGAAGCTGAGTATATAGCAGCTACTAAATGCTGTAAAGAAATTTTACATCTAAAATTTTTAATTGAAGAATTAACGGGTAAAACAGTTAAAGCTACACTCAATATTGATAATCAAAGTACAATTTGCTTGATAAAAAATGGTATCGGTAATAAAAAAAGTAAACATATAGACATAAGAATTAACGATAAACAGAGAATTTTTTCTCGGGCTCTGAAGTCATTAAACTAAATGAATAATAAATATATACTAGGTCATAAGAGCCGTTCGCAGGATGTTTTGCGGAAATTATACGTGTATATATATATATATATATATACGTGCTCACGTGTAAATTTTAAACACGTGAAATTCGAATTGTAATAACAATTCTAAAATATAGACATAAGATACAGATTTATTAATGAAAAAGTAATAACTGGTTTATTGAATATTAAGTATTGTTCAACAGATATGCAATTAGCAGATATTTTTACAAAAGCATTAGGACAAAATAAATTCGAGATACATAAGAATAAATTAGTTTGTACTTAACTTTTAAAGTAAGAACATTGTAATTTTTTTTAGCTTAAATTTAACAATTAAGGGAAGGTGTTGGGAATAATTGTTAAATGAGTTTTGTTCAAGTTTACATATATCAATTGCTCGTTGCGTTTAAAGTGTAAAAGGTGTGATTTCCGTGCAATGCGTTCTTCTTTGTTTTCTGCGTTTCGTCGTTGTCCGTCTTCCATGCGTGCCTGACTCTTTGTAATTGTTCGTTCGTTATGTGTATTACTGTTTCAATAAAATACATTTGTTTAAGCTACTAATGTGGCTGTAAATCTCTGACAATTCTTATAAGTAAAATCATCAATATGTATATTTTATATGTATATTTTATATGTATATTTAGTGTTCCTCAAAAAGAAGAATTGAGAGAAAAGTGGATCAGTATAATAGGACATCGAGTTCCTAAAAGCAGTTCTGTTTGCAGTGACCATTTCACAGACACTGACTTTAGATATAAGGTAATAAAAGATGTGCCAAAAAGATACTTACTACCTGATGCTGTTCCCAGTTTACTTTATCCGATACAACAAACAATGATACTTACAAGTAGTAAATCGTTACGTGAAAAGAATACTGAACAAGCAGTTGGTAACAGGTAAATAAAAATGCACTTGATCTATTAGTTTAATCTGTACTATTTGTTAAAATTGCAATAAAATATTACAATAATTTGCAGTGATATTAATGATAAATATCCTACATCAGAGGTTGATTTAAAACAATCTGCTGTTTCCAGTCCAGCAGCATTAATTGAAACAATAATTAGCAGTAATACTAATGATAAATATCCTACATCAGAGATTGATTCAAAACAATCTGCTGTTTCCAGTTCAGCAGCATTAATTGAAACAATAATTAGCAGTGATATTAATGATAAATATCTTATATCAGAGGTTGATTCGAAACAATCTGCTGTTTCCAGTCCAGCAGCATTAATTAATGAAGATCACTAATTAATAAAGATTATATATATAATATCACAATCGTTTTGTTGTATTTAACAATCAATAGATACGTAATTCATGGAAATACTATTTCTTAAGCTATGTTTTTTTTTATTTAAAATCAATTATATGGAAAGTTATTATAGAGAGTTATTTTATAAAGTTTTATAAACTCGGAAAAAAATGGATTAGATCTAACTTAAATTTAACAAAATAAAAAAATGAAAAAATAAATCTAATTAGATCCGAATTAAATCTAAATAGATACAAAGTAGATCTATGAAAATTTACACTTTTATATATTATTATATTTACTTCTATCTATTTAGATTTATTTTATATTTATTTAGATCTACTTTATATTTATTTAGATTTAATTTAGACTTAATTAAATCTATTTTTCCGTTTTTATCTCGTTAAATTTAAATTAAAAAAAGATCTAATCCATTTTTTCTCGGGAAAAGTTATATAATACAACTAATTTTCTTTGCTTATTCTTTGCGCTATTTTGACCGTTAAGCTGTAGTACATGTAATGTAATATATTAATCAACTTTGTGGTTTATTTATTATGATTAGTTATATTCAAATTAATTAACTGCATAATTTATGTTCTTTATGTTTATTTTAAACAGTTATTGGATATATCTAGTCAAAGTTATTGACCTCGTTTGGAAGTACATTTTATTGAAAGAATACATATTTTATTCAATACGACTATAATAGAATTTCGTAAATTTTACTTTATTAATAATAAGTATTTAATATAAATAAGAAACATTTCATTTGTAAGTACACATTTTTTTGAAGTTAAATAAAAATATTTTTAAGCATATGTATATAAAACTAAACTGGTTATTTTTTTATAATTCTTATTCATTTATATAAAAACCACTAACAGTTTGCAACCATTTTATAATTTAATTTACTTCATACTTTTATCTTGTATATAAGTTTTTTATTTAACTAATAAATGAATGATTAGACGTTAAGAGCCATTCCCTGGATGTTATGCGGGAAATATGTCTATATATATATGTGCGTGTGTACACATATATAATCAAATTCACGTTTTTTTCCACGTGAGTTTTTGAATTGTAATTACAATTCTAATAATCATATAGGATACTAAATTTGCATCTCGTATATGAAGAACCCCGAATATCCCCCCAAATTAATTTAAAATATTGCGAAAAAAACTCCTCAGCCAGGAGTCGAACCTGGAATCTCCGGCTTTCCGGGCCGTCGCCTTCCCTGTTAGGCTACCGAGGCACTTGGAGTCTGTCTCGCAATATTATTACAATTCAAAAAACTCACAGAGAGATATATAGATAAACTCACTGACAGATATATTGTACTAAAGAAATTCTTTATGTATCTATCACGTGTACGATCTTGAAATAAGAATGAGCGAGTTCGAAAAGCGTGCTATCAGCGCTATTGCATCATTCTACTTTTGTTTTTGTCAAATGAACTATAAAGATAAAATGATGACTTATGGCTGCTTTCCTTTTAGGAGACACAGTCGACACAAGTCGACACAAAAGTCATTCTGTCTTCGTTCAGTATTCAATGAGAAACAAAGAATGACTCTTGTGTCGACTTGTGTCGTCTGTGTCTCTTAAAAGGAAAGCAGCCTATATAGCACGTAATATTAAGAAAATATTCCAGTAATATTATAGCAATATATTAGAGTACTATTGGATATTATAATACAATATTCTAATAATATTATCGATATATTACATTTATATATAATACTGAAATATTACGGTAATATTGCATTTTAAGTAGCAAGATTATATATATAAATATGTTTTTATTATATCTTATGAACGTTAGAGATGTCATTTACTATTTGGCAAGTTGCATACATCGCATTGTATCTTAATTATATATAATACGATACATATATCTTTTGTTACATTGTTGCAAAAATCCTACAATTTTTGTTTGA